TAAACAATGCTTGTGATAAGGAAACAAGAGCTAGATTTATTCAATACATAGTTCGATGATTTTGTAGGAACAAAATTCTTTTTAATATTATCCTATTAGAGCACTTCAAATTAATGGTCTTAATTTAAACATTTCATGCTAGCATGAAATGAGAATTCCACTCCATGAAAAGGAGTTGTAATGCACAAAAGAATTGTTAAGTGTCATTAGGATGATCGAATGACTTATAGATGCACAATTATGTCAAATGCTTCGATTGATAAAATAGCAAAACTTTGTTAAATTTTTTGGTAAATTATCCTTCAAGATCAATGTTTGTTAAGAGTGTAGATGTTTCTACATGCATGAAGATAGAGAAAAATTATTTGAGCTTTTAGATAACTTTGTTGAGGATATTTTGAGAGAAAAAATGTAGTGCAAATATTCATAAACTATAAAAATAATTTTGATAGGCTGATTTCACTTTCACAATTTTAGTTACTTGTTATTTTGTTACTAATTTTAAGTGTTTTGATTTTTGGTCTTAGAAAAATTATTTGTTTTAAATTCCATAAGTTACATATCATTTAGACTTGATATGAAAAGATATTGAGAAGATTGCTAAAGTTAAAATAGTAAAACATATAGGCATCAATCTTGTAGGTTATATTTATAATCATTCTTTATCTTTAAACATAATGAGAAAATACATAGGCAAAATAGAATTGGTTAGACATAAAGTCATGAGGTGATAATGTTTGATGTGATTTGTCATTGTAAAAAGATAAATTTTTACTTTTTATGACACTAATTATTGTATTTGTCTTTTTGTAAGCTCTCACACTTAATGAAGACCTTTTGTCCTTGAAACATAAAAGAAATTATGACCTTTGACTCTCTTTATTTGTTCATTTTTGTATAAAGTTAAACTTTTTTACTTGATAAATCTTGATTCAAATTTGTGACCAAGATCCTAACCATTAGATCTCCTTAGAATTTTCATCCAAAAAATGTATGTAAAGTACATTTTCTCTTTCCTAATCATATCAGACCATGCAAGAAAGTTTCAATAATGCCCTTGGATTTTGGAATCCTACTTCTTTACTCCAAAAGTCGTGAAGTTATTTTATCGAGGTGAAAAGGGTGTAAGTTTTTTTTTTCCTTCTCTTTCCATGTAACTACGACTTATTCTTGTATGTAAGGCAACACTTGCGATTTATATTCTCTCTTCTCTTGCCAAGGAAGAACTGAGACCTCAATAGTTATTTAGAGCTTCCTTACTTTTTCTTCCTCACCATTTCAAGTCGTCACTTTACTTAATTATCCAAACTTCTTTTTTCATTCTCCTTCCTCTATTTTCTCTTTCATTGTCTTCTTTCTCTAGCTTGTTTTTTGCTAGACAGATCTTTAATGTAATAATATCTAAAAGACTCTAACCACATTCCTCTTGAAAGACTTTGATAAAGCACTGAGAAAGCTTTTAAAGTAGGCTTGAACTTTCATTTCAATGGAATTACAAACCTACAAATCTCTTCTTCCTCTATCTTAATTTAACCTGAGACAAGGTAAAGAGGAGATTCTTGTTCTTATGTTTTTGAACAGTTCTCTAAAATGAAATATGAAATTCTTACTAGTGAATTTTCCTTAGATGATCCTTAAGTGCGTGAATGCTTGATTATTAGTTGTTTTTATGATCTTTTTAAACTCTTATTCCCTTTGCACATTGTTGTTGAGTGGAGATAAGTCTTATACTTGCATGCATAACTGGTTACAAGGTGACTTGCATGTGTTATAAGGATATTATAAATGTTATATTAGGTAAGTGTGTATGTGTCTATATATATATTCGATAAAATTTTTAATTAGACACCCATAGTTATATGAAACGTAACGTGGTTTTAGAAAATGATTTTTGGTGTTTTATAAGAAGAAAGTGGTGGAGCCTATGGAAGTGGTCCCCATATGTCATTTACGATTTTTTCTTCGTAAAAAGAAAAAGATGGTGTGAATGGAAGTGGTCTACTTTTTGCATGGTTTTACATTCCTCTATCATGTGTTTGCATTGCTTCAATTGTTTATTTATTTATGTAATATATACTTTAAAAATATTTATGTATTACTTACTTTCAATTTGTTTTACATTTACCACAGAGGCAATTTTATAGAAGAACATGAGAATAAAGAGTACAAAGGGGAAAAAGTTAGAGTTTGGTTTAGTGTTGACGAAGACATGATAGACATTTTCAATTTTATAAACTTTAGTAAGAAAATGTAGTATGAGAAGTTACAAAATATTTTTTGGTTAATCCTCTTAAAGAGTTTAGGGAAGATTTAAAGTCATTGAAATATGATGTTGATGTGTTAGATATGATGGTTGTCGCTATGATGAGTAAAGGAGAACTGCATTTACATTATGAGCATGAAATTATTGAATAATAATTGCTTTGTGAGGATGAAATTAAACTACTAGAAGGGAAAGAAGTAAAAGTTGAAGATACAATAGCAAAAAAAGGCATAGAAGTTAAAGATATAGCAACATAAAAATAAGTAGAAGTTAAATGTACAATAATAGAAGGAATAGAAGTTGGAGTTGAGGAGGAATAACCAAAAGAAAATGGAAAGGGAAAGTAAGTTTAGTAAATCAAAAGGTGAATAGAAGAAAAAAAAGCAAGAGAAAAGGAAAAGGAAAAGGCAAGGTAAGTATGCTAAATCAAAAAGGAAAAAAAAAGTAAGATAAAATGAAAAAGGAAAAAAAAAGGTAACACTACAAGAAAAATAGATTTTATAGCGGCTTAATTTTACATTTGCGACACTTTAAACATCCAGTAAGCTTTTTACGGCTTTTTTGCCCGCATAGGGTTAATGTAGAAACAAATTCTGTTTATGGGACTCTTTCCTAACAAATACTGTGTCTAGGGTGGGGAATGACACGATAGAAGCAGTGTCGGAAAATACATGACCGACACAAGTAATTTTTTTTTAAAATTAATAGTGTCGTCAAACTTTTAACTAACACTTTAAAAAATATTAACAGATGAATTTTGATAATACTGATCAACGGCTGCAAACTATACACGTAGAGGTTCTCCAGTGTGTCGGACGGTTGAGATCCGACTTGAGTGTCAGAACTGCTATTGACGACACCAGTGTCAGGTTGTTCAGGACCGACACACACCGATTGGTCCACGTGGCAAGTTGCAGGAGGCACGCCAGTCAGCCCTCCATCTTCTCCCTTTGTGCTTCTGTTTCTGCTATTCATCTTCTTCGTTGTAAAGGTAAAAAAAATTTGTAAATCGAAAACGCAGAGGAGAAAGCAGGGCGAACGAATTGGACAATTTTAAAACTTTGAAAGGAAAGAATAAAAGATTGTGACGTATATTAGATATAAATATAAAATATTCATTCTTGCATCCGTTTTTGGTCCCAGGAATATTGCAATCAGTGGTGGTCCAGGCTGTTACGATAGGGACTTTCGGTGGTGGTCCAGATTCTTAGCTCAAAAGGTTAGTAAAAATTTACATTTGTTGTTATTTTGTTGTAATTTTGTGCATGTAAAAAAATAAGAATATAGGAATATAGGAAAATAGAAAAATAAGAAAATATTTAAATTAAAATATATAATTTTTTTGTTATTTATGTAAAAAACTGTATTTAAAAATAAAAATAATAATGATATTATTAATGTTATACAAATATTATTATGTTAAAATAAAAAAATAATCCAATAAGAAAAAAATATAAATAAAAGAATCTGAAAATAATCAAATGAGAAATATAAAAGAATTAAATTGAATAAATATATGAGGAAGAATTATGTGTGATTATTATTATAAGGTTAATAAAATATAAAATTATGAATAACAAAATAAAATTGAAATAATAAGAATGAAATATATTAATTAATAAATTTATATTATAAGAATCTGCAGTTATTAAATTTGTAATAATATTTCAACAAATATTATGTCACATAAATAAAAAATAGTAAATAATTTAAAATTGTGAAAGATTAAAATATAGTTATGCATCAAATAATTATAAATTAGATTAATTTAAAAAAATTAGAGTAAAATATAAGGAATTAAGTGAAAAAAAAAGATGAATATATAAGCAATGTAAGTTAAATAAAATTGAAAATGTTATTTTAAAATATAAATGACTGAAAATAAAAATATTAGATAAATATTAATTTAGACATTTGAATATTTTAAAAAGTTTGTAGTTATTTATATGATTTTAATGAATAATAATAAATTACAATTTTATGCATGTAAAAAAAACGAAAATAGAGAAAGAGAAAAATAGGAAAATAATTAAATTAAAATTTATAATTTTCTTTTTATTTATGTAGAAAATTGTATTTAAAAGTAAAAATGATGATGATATTATTATTGTTATACAAATATTATTATGTTAAAATAACAAAATAATATAATCAGAAAAATATATAAATATAAATGATTTGAGAAATATAAAAGAATTAAATTAGATAAATATATGAGGAAGAATTATGTATAATGATATTTTGAAAATATAAATTTTGTTGTAAGTTATTATTTAAACATATGCTGTAAATGTACTAATTGTAGGTAAATTTAGTAAAAGAGTTTTTTTTGTTACTATTTAGTTTGATAGAGTCTATTTGAAGGTACAAATTATTTAATACTAAAATGAAATTGTTTTTATTAAATTTGGTTGCTTATATTGTAAATTTGAAGTTAATAGTTTACTTGTTTATATAGATTTTAGATGGCATCATCTTTGTCTCGTAATAGGGTGTTAAATCCCGGCCCCGAGGATGGTTCATTGCTGCACTATTAGTCTATTCATATTTCAGAGCATATTTGGGATGGTCTTGAACACCCAATATTGAGAGTGAGAAGAGGTCATTTCATACATGTTGGCATGGAGGGAGTACCAATTGAGATTATTCCTCATTTGACAGTAGCAGGATTTGCTGGAGTAGCACAGTTGGCTAGTATTCCTATTGACCGCCAATTGATTACAGCATTGGTAGAAAGATGGAGGCCAGAGACCCATACGTTTCACATGCCCCTGGAGAGTGTGTTATTACTCTTCAAGACATTGCTATTCAAATGGGTCTTCGTATTGATGGAAGACCAGTTATTGCCCCTACAGGAGGTGAAGATTTATTGGGAATTAGACCACCTAGTTTTACATTTATGGGGAGCAGCTTGAAACTTATTTGGTTGGATGAGCATTTTTCCCATGTTGGGTTGCACAACAAAAATTCCATTCAGCTAACTTGTTTTACTAGAGCATATATTTTGAGACTTATTGGTGGGTTTATGTTAGCTGATCATTCTAGTAGCAGGGTCCCAGTTAGGTACCTTCCTTTACTTGAGGATTTAGAGATAACTGGGCAATATAGTTAGGGAAGTGCAGCGTTAGCCTTCCTATACAGAGAGTTATGCATGTCAACGAATATTGATCGATCTGGTATTGGACGATTGACTCCACTTCTGATGCTGTGGGCGTGGGATAGGTTCCGATTTCTCTCTCTGGGTAATCCCCCTTACACACGGAATGATCTTCCTTATGGTGCACGGTATGCCTATAATATTAAAACTTTCATTCAATATTTACACAACAGTATTTTATTACAAACAGTCATGCTGATATTTATGTTTTTATAGGTGGTTAGGATTTCGAAATTTTAGGAAGGGGAGAAAGGATCTAGCATACTTTAGGTTTAAATTTGATCATTTGAAACGTGATGATGTATGCATTATTTGTTTATGATATATGTTATCATCAATTAATAATTATGAATAATTAGATTAATAATTTTTTACACTTGCAGTTTGTGTAGCAACCATATAGTATAGATTTGATGCATACTTTACCTGCCATATGCACTGAGGGCATGCATATTTAGAGAGCAATTGTGCCGCTTATTTGTTTCCAAATATGTGAATGGCACCAGCCCAATCGTACCATGCGTCAATTTGGGATGGTACAACATATTTCTCATACTCCTTATCAGCCAGACCAGCTACATGACATTACTCTTAGAGGGAAGACTGGTGACAATTAGGAGTCAAAGTTCAGGGGCGTACTAGAGCATTGGGACAAAAGATTAGATTAGGTAGTGAGTAATGAACTGCAGATTGGTCTACTAAGTTCGAACTCTGAATACATGCGGTGGTACCATACTTATACTAGAAGGTGGATGAGCAGAGATGCTGCAGTGTTTGCATTACTTGTACGTATAGATCATTCTAGTAAACAATTTTGTTTGTTTAATAGAATCTAATATGAATGTAATGGTTATGCAGGGAGATGCTCATTAGAGGGCCTATTACTTGTGTAATGATGGGAGGGACACATTTTCATTTGAGGAGATGAAGGATTTGTGTGAGACGATGTTAGCCTTGCAAAATGACTAAGAACGCATCTTAGAGCCTTCATCCTCATGTGATCCTCCTACCCAGAGTGAAAATCTAGATGAGCCTGAGATTGACATTGGTATTGGTGAACAACGTCGAAAAGGCAAAGGTTTGCAACGTCGGCGAACGTCAATTCAGGTATTATGACCTTATGCTTGTTTGGCTCATTTTACCTAAATTATAATACTTTATGTTTCATTGAACATAGTTATGTGTTTAAAATTGTAGGGCACAGATTTTACGTTGCCCCCTTTGCCTGAATGAGGAGATGGTGTTTATTATGTCCCACCACCTTTTCTGTTTCAGTAATCACAACGAACATTGTCATCTTATGTTCACTCATCACAGCAATCAAACGTCCTTCCTGCATCTCCATTTTTCAGCGGTGAATTTTATGTTCCTGATGCTAGCCTTTTCATGACACCTCCTCCATATGAGCCGATATTTTTCACATCGAGTGCACCCGGTGTAGGCACTCATCAAACTGGATGTAGGGAGCAAATAACATCATTACGACCCCGGCATGACCGTGGAATTGATCTTAATGTTGAATTCATTGCAGCCTCAGATGCAGCAGGAGCTAATGTGAGATGTAACTCTCACCGTGGAACGCGAGATTGTCGTCGACAGTGCATTCTCACACCTCATGAGGAGGGACCTCACGAGCAGTCCTTGGATTCTGATTGAGACTATGTTATGATACTGTATTTGAAAACTTTAGACGATGTTAGTGAATGATTTATTTGGTTTACATGCACAACTCATTTATAATTTGCCACATTCTACACATTCGACATCAAACAACTTTAATAAGACAACATACATTAATAAAATCTAGCACACTTTTTACAATCATACGATCCTACTCATGATTAATGTTAGCATTGCTTTATTGAGGACAATGACGTTGATTATGACCTGGTTGTCGATACAACCTACATCGTTGTCGCGGTTATGACTCAACCAAATCCATTTCATTTCTAATTCTAGAAGCCTTTGGTTTTCCTTTACCTCGTACTCTATCTTGATCAGGCAACAACTTTCACTCATCATTTTGTAAAATGTTTGCTTCATTTCCAAGCGACTACCACTGAGATGAGTATGCGTTCACAACATACTGCAGAGTATATACAGGATCAACATACTGCCAAAAGTCTATACTTACAGTAACACAAGCGGCTATGACATGTGAACATGGGTATTAGTATGCCTGAAATTTGCCACATTCACATTCATGTGTAGATAATATCACAATCCACTTATGACTCCATTTGTGTCATTGGATTAAAAGTCCCTTCAACCTCGAACCTTGTACTTTGTATGTCGTAACGAAGAACTTGATGTGAAGATGCTTTTTCTTGATTTTTTTTCTATAGCTTCAATTAATTTACGACAATACCTTTTACTATTGTTCATGTCATTGATTGCGCTTTCACCCCGCTTGACAAAATATTCGACCAATCTACTATAAGTTGCTTTGACAAGGGCAGTAATTGGGAGATTTCTTGTCCCTTTTAAAACTTTATTCATTGACTCAGACAAATTAGTTGTCATGTGAACATAACGCCGCCCTTCATGATCATAAGCCAAACTCCACTTTTCTTTTGATATGTTGTCAACCTATGTTTGAACTTCAGGAGAATACGAACGAAACCAGCTTCAAATCTTTGCTTGCAAGGTATATACGCTATATTTAAATAAGTTATACGGTTAATGGTGAAAATAAGAATATATTCATAGATAATGTAAAATGTAATAGTGATAACATACTTACTTAATTTCATAAGCATACTCTTCATTGCGAAATTTTTGAATCTTCTATTGAAATTGCTTACAATGTGACAAATGCAATAAACATGGTAAGCATTAGGAGGTTGCCACCCAATATGTGGGTTAGACACAGCACCTTTAATACTTTGATGGCGATCAGATATTAAACAAATTTCAGTTTTATCAGTAACATTTAGACAGATCATGGCTAAGAACCATTCCTATGCTGATAATGTTTCTCCTTCAACAATGGCAAATGCTATAGGAAACACACTGTTATTGCCATCTTGAGTTATAGCAATAAACAATGTTTGCTTATACTTACCATACAAAAAGGTACCGTCTACTTGTATTATAGGCTTGCAAAACTTAAAAGCTTCACGACATTGCCTAAACGACCAAAATACTCGATAAAAGACTCTGAATCTATTATCCATTACATTACCTCTCACATAATCATTGGTCTCAATTTTGTAAACTGACCCTGGAGCATATAATTGCATGTATTCTAATCATCTTGGTAATGTTGCATAAGATTCATCCCAATCACCAAATATTGTCACAATTGCTTTTTGCTTTGCTTTCCATGCTTTTTTGTATGAAACTGAATACCCAAATTGGCCACTTATTCTCTCTTGGATTAATGAAACGGGAACAGAAGGTTCTTCTTTGACCATACCTGTCAATAAAATTAAACAATACCTCTCAGCTAATGATCATATCAAAATCATTTTAAATAGACAAATAAATATAATCTCAATTAGTTTCACGTACCAATAATGTATGAACAAATAAAATTTGAATCTAACTTTTTGTGATCTTGAGAAATCATAGTATTAACGCTGGTATGCATACCACCCCATCTCGTAATTTTTCACTTATTTGAATTTTTGGGTAACAATATTCTTACTTTCCAATGATACCTGGAAATATGATTCACACACTTGACAAAATGAATTGATGCTTTTGACTCAACCACAAAAAATGTATTTTTACATTTATATTTTTAATAATTACCAAAAAATTAAAATAATATATTTTTACATTTATATTTTTAATAATATTAGATTAACATTAAATAAATTAAATTTATTACTACAAATATTTTTAATTTTATTTATTTATAATAATATTAAAATTATTAATTCAAACTTATTTACAATAATTAAAAATTTTAAAACAGTAAATTAATAACATTCTAACCTAAAGTTTCTTCCAGCGGAACAGCTTGAAAATATCACAATTGCTTCCAATACACCCACTATATATATGCATTTCAATTGGATAAAAATTTCTGGATAAAAGCCTGTCTTTTGTTTTGTTCAGTGGATGTAGGAGTAAACGAGAAATGTGTCGGTGTCAACGAAACCGACACACAGCTAGTGTCGGCATTTTTCAGCCGACACACAAGTGTCGTAAAAATATAACCGACACACATATGTTAGAACACAACCAGCCTATTTACAATTTGTGTCAGCATTTTAATTGTCGAAACTTAACAGTGTGTCGGTATTGTAGTTGTCGAAACTTAACAATGTGTCGCCAACATTTTGTACGACACTTACAAATCACCCTAGAAAAAGAATTTCTTGTCAAATAAACCCATACAGAGAAATAGTTTGTCATTTAACCCCATGCAGGCAAAAAGACCCGCTTTTTACCTACGGCTATCCCTTCCTCCAGAAATGTCAGCGTCACAAAAGTATTATATACGGTTTATAAAAAATGTTGGAAATTTACTTATGATTTTTATAACCGTTGGAAATTTTTGACAATTGAAAACCCCAACAAATTGCTTAACAGTTTAGAACTCCCAGCACATTTATTGGCAGTTTAGAACCCCTGGCAAATTCTCTTGAATGCAAAAAAAAAAAAAAAATCTAATTTAGATACAGGTTGTTTGAAGTGAAACTAGAACATATATTGGAAGTTATATATCAAAAATTACATGTTCAATTTTCTTGCACAGTAAAAACAAATGTGTTTTGGTTCTTTGGTATGGAAGTGATAAGGGATAAGAACACCTAAATTTGCATATGCTGCCAGCAATTAGGTAACGTAGATGAACAAAAACTACATCCACTAACGTAGAAAATGAAAGTTTTGTATTCATGAAAATAAGAAACAAGCATATTTAATTTCTTTGCTTGGTACTCTCTTGAATTCTTATTCCATGACAAATATAAGGGGTCTCCAAGTTGCCTAAAAAGACAGAT